GGGTCCGGGATTGGATAGACCTTGGTCCGAGTCAGCAACGACGGCCGCGTCTTGGCGGCTCTCCCCCAGTCTGATTGACATCGTGAGTCTGAGAAAACAGAATGCAGAAAATATCAGAATCAGAATAACTTTGTGAGAAGTGAAAGACCGACTCGGAGTTAAATAGGAAAAATGGACATACATTGTCTGAATTACTACCAGTGTCCGTACTAGCCTGTGACAGACTATGAAGGGCGGTGTCCTCGCTAACTTCTACCTCTTCAAAGTCACCGTTGGCTTCCGCAATAGGCACACAGAGCTCCCCATCCGATCCAACCTCCACACCATTCGACTCCAACAACGAGATTGAATCACCGAGGACTCCGAGCTGAACTTGATCCGTGGTAAGACAGATGTCATCGTCGTGCTCAGAAATGTCGGAAGGCGGTTCGTCCTCCCCGAGTGGGCCACAGATAGAATGTAACGGGTCAAACTGAAGAAGCTGAGCACCGAAGGCGTGGTTCTCGGTGGTGACGACCCGCAAACGCTCGAGAGCCGTAGAAGATGTGAGAGAAGCGTACGAAAGGTTCCACTGATCGTTCTCGCCAGCAGTGCTCTTCTCCCAAGCCATCTTCACAACGTCCGGGTGTACGACGAAGTATTTGTACGTATCAACAAGCCAGGCTACAGATGCATTGCGGAGAGTCGGAAGATCTGTCGGAAGCTGGACAGCTTCTGGTGCGACTCCGGCGGCGAGTTGGGTGCTTGCTCGAGCGACCATGAAGTCCGTAGCACTTGTCTTGATCTGATGCTTCGCAATTCGCTGAAGGCCGACGTCGGCTGGTTGAAATTTTGGTGTACCTGGTATGCAATGAGGCATAAGTAGACAATAGAAAAGATAACAGAGATGAAGAGAACTACATACAGCCTCCCGGTACAAAGTCAAGAAGAATATTTGGATGATTGACCTGCATCCAAGGTATGAAGTCTTCGGGGACTCGGTTGGCGATATGGATGCCCCAGACGTCGAGGAGAAGCAGAGACTTCTGCGAGTCCGGGAGACCGAGAGCCTGCTTCATGTTGGCAAGGTATGGGACTAGGAGGGTGGTAACCCACTTAACGTGCGAGTCAATAATCTTGTGAGGATTGATCTAGATAGAAAGCAGAATAATTAAACGAAAACTCACATCTTTGGTCGTATCTCTTGAGCTCCAGTGGCGAGTATCGCCATGACCATACTTGAACCCGAGCTGGTCCGCCTCGTCTCGACGAAGAGCATTCGTAGAGGGCAGGCTTGCGTCGGTCTTTCCACCCCAGATGGACTGGAATGGCAAGAAGTCGCCCGAGCAAGCAGACGCAAGGACGACCGTCATCTGAGGTGATAACAATACTGATCAGAACGAAGTATAGCCTGTGATAGAAAAGGATTCTCACCTGCCGTTTCTCTTCGTGATTGCTTACACTGACATCCTTTGACCCCTTCAATTCATATGTTCTTCTTCCCGTCGGAAGAAGAATGATCCCCGTCTGATCAGCGTTGACGATTAGAGCATCGGGGATGTTGTGGAGTTTGATCGCAAAGACAGCCCGCAAGAACGAAAGCTCGCATAACTCGTTGGCGTTGTCGGGCAACTTTTTGGCCTTCTGGGTGCTCACTCGAGAGCTCCATGACAGTTCGTCCTGGAGAAAGCGATGGACCCATGGTTTGGAAATTGAGAAGCCGGAACCGGGAGCCAGAAGTTGTGGGATACGATGCATGATGTGAGCGCGAATGATAACAGTGGCGAGAGGTCCTTGGACGGCCAAACCAGTAAGACGAAGTGACTTTAACTGAGATGCGATTGCAGCGACGACGTCCGGATGGGAGGACTAGAGGCAACGGCAAACATTGATCAGCTTGGTGACTTAGTAGACCAAGAAAAGGAATAAAAAATACCAATGCCTTGGATTGGTAGATAGTGACGACGCGACCGCCACGCTCAACACGGAGGCGAACCTTCGCAGTCCATCCCTTCTCACCATTCTCATCCAACCCGATCCATTTAGCCAGGGTCTGCCTATGAAGCCCGCCCTTCCCAGCGAAGACAACCGGATTCGCGATGTGTAGAGCCTTTGCAATGTCGGTGGGACTCCAGGAACCGACTCTCTCTTGTGCAAGGTCGATCTGTCGCCAAAGGTGATGGTCTTGCCAGTTGTGGCGAACTTCACAAGGAGTGCCGCTTGCCTTCTCCTTTTTGCTGCGTTGCATAATGGTTCGTACACCAATAAGGGACTTGGAAGCGTCTGCCTGGCGTGCTGCCACAGCAGAGACGGAGTTCTATGGGATGATGGTCGTCAATAACGGCGGGGGGCAAAGGAGAAAAATGAAGACGTACCAGTTCGGTATCGGCTGGCGAGGCGGTCGAGGAGATATCGGCGTCGACAGCGCTCAGGGCAGGAGTCTGGATGCGAAGAGTCAACGATTTGGACTCGAATTGAACAGAAGGTGAAAGAAAAAAAAATAGAGCAGTGAAGTAGCGGCATACTTGACTTGAGCTCCCGGTATTGGTGCTTTGCAAGGCCTTCCATGCTCGCTGTCGCCTCTTCTTCTCTGCTTCAACCTCCTTACGCTTATCGACGAGCTCCGATGCTCTCAGCTCCGCAGCTGCACGGATGACTCTCGTCGTGACTCTTGTTTTGGCAAACTCGTTCTGCTGTTCCTCTTCGAACTCTGAGCGTGACAATCTGGGAAACTGGAGCTTAGACTGCTTTGTTTCGTAGGTCTTGCTTCTGTAGCTGTATTTTTCATCAGATCAGATCCTA